AGAACACCAAACCTTTTTGCAGGGAACACTTGCACTGGGTCATTTCAAACCATTTGCAAAATTAAAAGTGATGTTTGAAAAGCAGAACCTCTCAAAGCTTCGCTCTTCGTGTCCGGCATCTCCAGACCATGATGCAAGTAACGCTGCTAAAGAGCAATTGGAATTGTCTGCAAGTAGACCTTTGGCATCTCTGCATGCTTCTGCAGCGGACGTTTTCTGAAGGGTTTCAAGATGAGCTTGAACACAAATGCATGCTTACTTTTGGAAAACAGTTGCATTGGTACACAATCCCAGGGCTCCATAGATTGGGAAACAATGTAACACAACTTTTCATAAACCAGACCCCTATGCAAATCTTCTTCAATAGGCGACGTGCGGAATAGGAAGCACCTTTGACCAATTCCAATCCTCAGGGGTCAGGGTTTTTCCCAAAAGCTCCAGAAGGGTTTTTCCAAAAAGGCTCCCCCTAATGGGGTTTGTTTCCCAAATACTTAGTAGCGCCATCACCTCTTTGGGGTTTTATTGAGTTACTACCCTTTTTGGGCAACCAGCTGAATGTTATGTAAGTGGTTTCCGTCGAGGACATCATAAAACTGGTGAAACACTATATCACCCATTGAGTGTTTAAACCGTGTTACTAAGGAACACATGACCCATTGTATGGTCTACTTGAAGCTATATATCCCAGATTCATTTTAAAACCATTTAAAACCGATTACAGGGAACACAGAACCCAATGTAAATGGTTTGATAACTCACCTTTTCGGGGTATACAGATGCATGATTTTGGATGCTTTTGGTAATGCTCAATGCTATATAATATGTACATGATATGCATATATACTTTTTAAAATACATATGAATGTATACAAATATATGATGGCAATATATCCATCTCCCTGGGGAATCATTTGAACATATATATAATTATATATATCGTGGTAATATACCCATCTTATTGGGAACTCATTTTAATATCTATATATATATATGTGTGTATATCGATGTTTGGATATTATATCCATCTTATTGGGGAATCATTTTTATATATGTATATAGATGTTTTGAATATATCCATCTTATTGGGGAATCATGTGAATATAGCAGGATAGATGTATAGTTGGAATATATCCATCTTACTGCTGGATCACCCAATTTTTTCCCCTTTCTCCTTCATTGCGGAAAGCTCGCAACTGGCCCTTTGAGGTGAGTCGATTGCGATGGCCTGGATGCTCTCGAAGATGACAAGGAGACCGGGGTCTGGAGCGAGATCTTTCGGCCCTGCGATGGGAGCGATGGGAGGCTTTTCCCACTATGATTCCCGAACCGTTTTGGTAGGAACAATGTTTGTGATTAAGATGGTTCCTTTCCGATCAAATTCCCATCTATTATAGTGAGTGGGTATCCAAAATATCATCCAATGGGATTCCCGAACAATTCCTGGTAGAAATCAATATCACCTGATTTTTTTGAACAAGACATTTCATAGACCCTTTTTGGATGGAATCCCTTTGGTGGGTGGGCGACAAATGATGCTATCATCCCTTGAACCCAAACCTTTGTGGTTTAACCCCATTGCTGGTGAGTGGGCCAATGCGTAGCATTCCATGCAATAAGAATTTTTGAGAAGAGGTGAACTGTTTGTGGTTAGGTCATATCCGTGAGACCCCCAATTCCCAATTTAATTTTATTGGTTGGACCAGCTCTTTAGTTTAACATACCCAGTGAGGCTGCCAAACCTTTCTTGGTGTACAACACACTGTTTGTGGTTGGCCATAGCATTAAACATTTTTCACCGCGCGCGATCACCTTAATGTCACCGCTTCGCCACACACAAATGATCTTTAGATCATCCAAGTTTCAGATTTGCTCTTGCTGCTTGCCACTTGCAGGTAATCCCGCAAACAAGCATGATACCCAGATTGGGCCACGTAGCCATCTAAGATGCCGGACCATAAAAATGGACATGGGATGAATCAACACCGTTTCCTGATCTCTTCTAACAAGTTTTGAAACTATTGCGAACATAAGTTTGTTTTTTAAAAATGAACCCCCCATCCAATTGTTCTCAACAGCACCAAGGCTACACAGGCTACCCCAAACCACTAATGTCATCTGGTGATGACCATCGAACGAAAAGTATACTAGCTCAGGAAGCAGACTTCTTCCTTTTCTTGCCTGTCTCTGGACCTTTGCTATCGGCTTCTTTGGCCTTACTCTCATCTCCTTTGTTTGCCTTCTCAGCAGCACGGATCAGCGCCTTGCCAAGCTCCACTTTGCTCTTGGCCAGCGCATTGAGGTTTGAAATCTGCAGGGCCAGGAAATTGAAAACCTATGGGACTCATGACATGGTGTTTCATTCAGTTTGATTGAACCTGTTTAAGATCATGTTACTTTCCGACATGTTAGCTCTTTTACTTCTGAATACGTTTGACTTTTTACCCCCCGGTGTGTTAAACTTCTACATGCCCAATATGTGATATTTTATTCATTCTCCATATCTTGATGTTTATCACCCCCGCCATGTCAACCGTTTGAATCCCCGATATTTCGAGCCTCCTGCATCACCGGTGTGTAGTGCTTGAGCTTCTGCTTGTCCTCGTTGAGCAACTCCTGAAGTCGTCGTGCTTGCTTCTCCAGTTGGTTCTGCAGAGCTTTCAACTGGCTGATGAGTTGGTCACTCATCTCGAGGGGCTTCAAACGGAAGGACAAATCCCTGCGCCAGCAGGGCAAAGAAACACTAAACAACTCTTGCTTACATTTTGGACATCACCTAAAGCCCGTTGATGCATAGAACATAGATGCTTTTTTGACACAACCACATAAACATAAACACAGACCTATGTCAATAAACATAAACCTGCACGCAGAAACATCCCTTGATAAAAACAATGCATTTCCCAAACCAAGCCTGCACGTGTTGGCATCTTTCAACACCTTTGTGATCAATGCCCTTGCCTTTGCTTGAGGGGTCTCAGCTTTCACTTCTTTAGCTTCTCCAGGTTGGTCAGGGTCTTTCGAAGCACCTTTGCCTCGCTTGTTTTTGCCTTTGCTCTTTGCATCACCGACTTTGCCAACCGAACCCATGAAGGTGATGGCCTTTGTCATGCCCTCCTTGTTGCCCATCTCTCCTTTCAAAGCCCCGGAGTCAAGGCACCCCCCAGCCTCTGTGAAGGCCTTGATCATTTCCTCAGAGACCTGCCCCTTTGCTTCCAAGCTTGTCACCCTTTTGAGCTCATTGATGTTCTTCAGGTCGATGTCGATCAGGCAGAAGTAAAGGTTGTCCTCTGGCTCCTCGGGGTCTGGGATCAGCAAGCCAAGGTTCACTTTGCGCCCCATGATGCGCTTCGCTTTTTCTTCTCCATATTTTTCATTCAGCCATCTCTCGCTCCTGAAGCCATATTTGACTTGGCTCTGGCGAGACTCTGAAAGGCTGGCCTCATGCTTGCAAATGATGGCATCCACATCGCCACCACACTTCACCCAGTCCACGAACAACTTGGCACGTCCATCTTCGGAAGTGAGTCTACTTCCAAGGACTGTAGGAAACCTTTTGCCATTTCGGATCCACCGTCGGTATCGAAGATACTCTTTGTGGTGAGTGCTCGAATTGATCTTGTCATCGCTGCTGCTATCTGCCGATGCTGTTGCCGAAGTAGGTGAGGTTGTAGTTGACGAAGACGGTGTAGTGGCACTCTTTCCCAGCTTGGCCTCAGCAACTTCCAACTTGCTCTCTGGTTCTTTCTTGCCCTGCTTGTCCTTTGAACGCTTGGTCTCCACATTCTTTGCCTTCTTGCCATCCTCCTCCCTTCCTCGTTTCTTTTCCTTGCTGCTTGTCTCACATTTGGTCACTGCCTTGTTGTTCTTCTCACTGGCATCCTTTTTCTTTGGATTGCTCTTTTCATCCTCCTTTTTCCCATGCTTGTCTTTCTTGCTGATCTTCTGGTTCTCCTTCTTGACTGCCTTCTTGGTAACTTCGGGCTCCTCCTCAGAAACCTCGCTATCGCTGGCCTCAGAGTCACTGGCCACCTTCTTCCTCGTGCCAACTGCCTTCTCTGGCTTCTTGCTGACGACCTGTGGCTTTTCCTTTGCTTTAACTGTTTCTTCATCGGAATCTACATCGCTTTCCTCAGGCTCCTGTTCCTCTGAGCTGCTTTCGTCTGGCTTCAGAGTCTCTGCATCTGAACCTGACTTGTCATCAGAACTGGATTCCTTTTCATCATCAGATTCCTCAGCTTCCTCGCTCTTGTCCTCCTCCTCTGATTCTGACTCGCTGCTGTTCTCGTCGCCTTTTTCTGATGCCGAATCACTGTCTTCTGCATCCGCTGCCTTGCTTCCGGACCCTTTCATCATCTCTTTGACGAGCCTCTCAGCCTCATCTTCCGACATAGCCGAAGTCTCCTTGGTTTTCTTGTCTCCTGGAGGGTTCTCAGCTTTGATTTCAACCTGCTCATCCTCGGACGCAAAGCTGAGTCTTCGCTTCGCTTTTTTCTTTGTTTCCTTCTTTGAAGAACCGTCCTGGCAGGGAATGGTGCTCCCCGGAAAACAAAAAAAATGGTAAGTGTTTGGAAAGTAGACTGGTCTATCATTCTTTGCTGATATATGTGCCAATTAGTTTTCATAAGTATATTTGCATATAGCCACTTGTAAACAGCTGGGCCCCATTGAACTAGCTTGCACGCAACAGACCCACCATACCCTTGGCTCCTCTTTCGACTTCAAAATCGGTTTTGGACTTGGGGTCTTAACCACAGCAGAGTTCTCAGCCTTTAAAGCAGTCTTTGCCCCCTCTGGTGCTTTCTTGTTTTCTCTGAGCTTCTTGGCTGCTTTTTTCAACTTCTTTGGGTTGGGAGACGGCCTCATAGCTCGACCCTCTGGAGTCTTACTACGGCACCTGGTCAGCACTGGCATGCCTGACTTGCCCTGAGCCAGATTTGCTCTGGGATCTGGGTTTGTTTTGTTTGGATCCATGGGATGCCACAACTCAATGCTCACGAAAGCGCTATATACATAGGAGATCACAGAAGCTTTAGATTAATCATGTATATACCTTGAACCTGCCTTATGGGCAATTCCAAACCACAAACAGCAATTCTGGGGTATGTGTTTTCTTGCCTTTGCTTTCTCCGGGGCAGCTGCAATGACTGCCAGGCTCCAATGTTGAAATGGGTTGGATCTAATTGGAAAATGAATTTCGAGAGGCCATGGTGCATTTGCACAGGCTTTGAAGCTGCAAAAATGGACCAAAACCCAGAAATGTATCCATTTTGGGTTGTCTTTGAGGAAAATTCACCACCAAACCTTTCAAATTCCTCAAAATTTCACCAAATCCACCAAAAATCTGTTTTTTTTGAAAAAAATCGATGACCAAAAAAACCAATAAAATTATCGCTTTTTATCGGCTTTTTATCGGTTTTTTATCGGTTTATCGGTTTTTCAAGTTTTTGAAAAAAATGAAAAAAATGAAAAAAAATGAAAAAATGGAAAAAAACCCTATAGGTTTATACAACACAATCTGAAAATCTGAAATATATAGGTGAAGGGTTGATTACTATGTATATTTTTATAAAAATCGAACACCATCTGAAAAACACCTCATTTCACCCACTTCCTAGATATATTTCTTGTTTGGCCCACGCAGCATGAAAACCACATTGGCTAATTTCTATTTTGCATGCGCTCATGCCATCACTGCAGCTCTTTGATCACTTGCCGGAGGTTGGCCAGCTTAGCAAAGCCAGGGTCCTGGAAGGTTGGAACCCCCCATATCCCGATAAACTAAAAGACCGGGACGCCGAGAAACCGAGAAACCGATAAACCGATAAACCGATAAACCGATAAATGTGGCTATAACACATGTATATATTGACCCGATAAACCGATAAACCGATAAACCGATAAACCGATAAAGTGGCCAACAGTAAACTGTTAAAGTCCCATCTCATTTGTTTTGAACCAAACAGTCCTTTGCTTCCTTTCTGGGTGCTCTTTGCAGCTCTTCCCGTGTCTCCTTAACATGTTGTCGAACTTCCTCGTAATGGTCCAAGAAGCATTCTGCAACAGCACATCCGAAGCGCCGAGGGTAGTGTTGAGAAGCTTTGAGATCTGAATCTCCGCAAATCCGAGGGATTCCATTGGAGTCTATGTACCTTGCAGGGATTACATATATGAGTTACTGACATGACCCTTACTCACAAGAACTCTTTTTGTTTGACCCAGAAGCACTTTCGAACACCCTTGCCTTTTCACCATATTTGATGTCCATTCACGGCATGGAAGTGGAAGGTAAAGCTTATGGAAGAACTTGTAGTTGCTATATAGGAATGTTGGTTTGCAGCCTCACTGGGATAGGGCATGCTGGGCACGTATTCCCTTTTAGATCCAAGGGCATTTGAACTGTAGCACTTGATAATGATGCATCATCCAAGGGGCAGTCGTGGCCATAGCTTCCAATCCATACAAATACCTTAGCTCGGACAAGCTCTATCAGGCACAACACATTTGAAGTGAACATACTTGACATATACACTCTATACTGCATACATATCACCATTCACACATGATATAAACATATACATGTCTTCATGTATATATACTCTATGGACTCAAGCCACATAAAGCCAAGTCACGCGGTAGACTCGGGTCTGTTTGCAAAGCCATTGGAATGCCACATGCTTTTCCAACAAGCTCGAGCTCGGCTGCTCGATGCACCAGCAGCATCCTAGAAGACTCATGATGTAGAGGTAGATGACAGTACGGGCCACCATCAAATTCCTCAGATTGGACCGAAGGCAATTGTGGTTTACTTTTTGGACCAACACTTCACCTTCGTTTTAGATACCCACAGACCCACTCAGACATTTTTCTGTTCAACCCCACGCGCTGCATCCAAGCCCGTTCCAGCTTGAATAATGCCTTGGTAATGCCAAGACTGCGCAAACCTCAACGATAAGCTCTAGATTGGCACAGGTGCTGCAAGGCGCTTGGATCAAATGAACGAGTGAACCATTTAACAGTTTGATATGATATATCTTTTGTACCTCAAGTTCCCTTTAGTGCTATTGCCTCTTCAAAACACACATGCGCTCCAGCACGTGCTTCAAAGGTGTGTTTGTCACACCATGTCACATCAGTTGGTAAAGCAGCCTATTTGTACCATGTTGTACCTATGCTGCACTATGTGGGACCACACCCATGGACTTGGCCGCAGCTTCCCAAGCAGCCTGGATATCAGTTCGCCACGCAATCCTTAGATGCCCGCTAAAGGCAAGGTTGTTGACTGATAACATTTAATTTTCTTAACACCATATGTAGTTGATTGGATCTCAATGCAGGTAACTTCCATTGCTGTTTCCCGTTTGAATTCCATATTTCTCCATGGATAGTATATGTCCCATGTTTGATTCCATTTGCATTTGGGATTCAATTTGGATTTGGTTTAAACTCTTAACCAAGAAACGCTTTGGCATTCATGCTGGCACCACCAGCCATAGCCTTCGGTTTGAAAGCCTTGTGGCGCAACAGCACTTCCATCCGGGCTCCATTTTCGAAATGCCTTGGCTTCCAGGAGGAACTTCCTCAGAGTTGTAGCTCAGGCTTCAAATGTGAAGCTTGAGTTGCAACTCTGGGGAGGTATGGGACTACATGGGGGCTTGGCTTCAGACACGATTAAGGACTGAATGCTGGCCGTGTTGCAGGGTGTAAGAGTGCTTGCCATGCTTGCAGCTCTGGGGGAATAGCTCAGCTGGTAGGCCCTGAAGTGCCTCACGATAGTCTTCCTCAAAGGTGTTCAGAATCGTTGGGGCATCGAGCTTCTCCTCTTCCACAGTGTCTCCTATCAAAACGACATGACAACATGTTTTGGGATCAATTTTAATGGGGATGGGGATGAAGAAGTAGGGACACCTCTCGGGCCTTTTCACCTCTTGACTTGACGACCTGTGACCTTTGGAACCATGAGTAGATTGACAGAACATCCAGGGTCCTGTTTTGGCCTTCTTCTTCTGCTCAGCCTTCATGGAACTCTTGCGCTTCTTAGGCTTCTTGGTGCCTAGCGAAAAACTTGGTTTTGTTTGATCTAGCCAGATTTGGTCTAGAATGGTTTAGATATGTTTTGATCTGGTGTTGCACCTGGCACTCCCTGAAAGGACCTGGCCTGCTGCAACTGGTGGCACTGGCAGAGGAGGACTGGCTTCAAGGGCAGCTGCTGCCGCAGGGTATCCAGCCGGCATAGACGGCTTCAATCGGTCATGCTCATTAAGGTGTTCCCCAAAGTCGGAATCTTGATCAATGTTGTCGGCCAAAAGCTCTTCAGCCTTACTCAACACCGGTTGGCATATTCATCAATGCGTGGTGGTTGGAAAATGTTGGAGCCACTGGTGGCTATATACTTACAATACAGTCATGTGTATATTAATAGACCAGTCTTTGCATAACCACTTCACTTTTCGATGGGATACCCATAAAGATGTTACCCAAATAAAACTGTCACCCAGATATTGTTAGATATATCTTTAACTTGGGATTCTACCATTCTCTTATCTAACAAACTATCCAATTCAATAAAGGGGCAAGCTCTGGATCATCATCCGGGCTCGAAGATTCTGAGCACTCAGCAGCCTCTTGATCCCACTCAAGATTCACAGGTGACAAGGTAGGCATGTCATCGGGCTGACTGTCATCCACAAGCAATCTTTCAGGAACCCCCAAGTTAGCAGCCAACTCCGCAATAGCCTCGGGTCGTGGTTGTCGTCGGATTCCAGGTGTTGCCCAAGGTGATCCCAATGGCAAAGTATCATCTGTTCCCCCAGAAGGAGGTCCAGAATCCCCCCCATACCTTTGAGAATAGATATTTGAAGCCCATGGTCGGGGCTCTGGAGTAGCCACACCATCACCAGGGCTAGGAGGGGATGGCTTCGGAAGTGATGTAGGCGAAAGAGGGCTAGGAGCAGCGCCATAAGAAGATGAGCTGTCATCCCCCACAGAACGCTGTTCGCTATCCCCATCCATTGCATTCTTGGATTCAGTTTGGGACTCTTCCTTCTGGGAATCTTCCCGCTTTGCATCCTGCAAAGGCAAATGATATTGGGCTTTCCTAGACTCATGGGTTATTTATGTAAACATGATTTTGATATCTCACTGTGGTTTCCTCACCTTATTTTTTAGACCTTATCGGGCTCAATATCTTGGCAAATTGACAAAGATCAAACAATGTTGCATGGGTTTACATCCCATGGCTTGTGATCGTCCATTCATGCAGGACACTGCTGTCCTCTTTCTTGCCTGTCTTCACCTTCAGCATGGCATCTTTCAAGGACTGGACAGTCTGGGAAGAACTTGAACCAGGGCTGTTTCGCCATAGGGCTCGAAGACCACTCCATAACTTTCGGCATGTGAAAGTCAGGGCTGCAATCTCGGTATCCAGTTCCTCAGGATCGATTTGCCAACACCTAGCTTAAAGTATCCTTGGGATTGTGATAAGTTCACCTTTCAATCCTTGACATAAACTGGAGTGAATTTGGAATCCAATTGGTGTAGATTGACAAATGTAGTCACTACCAGTGCTAGACTTTCGCTTCATGTTTGCCCAATACAGTTGCAGTCCAGCGGCTGTCAGCTCAGTAGGACGGATGCAAAGGTTCTGGCAGGTCAAAAAACAAACACTTTGAAGGGTTGTGGGATGCTGTTCAAAAATGGTTTTTTCAATTTACATCTTTGATCTTTGAACTATCGATTTGATTCATGCAAACATCAATGAGGCCCCCCATTCCGAAGTAGCCTTGGATTTGGCATTCAGACTTTCCAGGATCAGATAGCATTCCTGCTTTCCGGGTGCTCTGCACTTGTAGGGCTCATACTCAAGCAGGCACTGTAGAAACCAGGCATTGTTCTTCCTAAGGTTCTGAAACATGCGTGTGTGAAACCAAGGTTGGTGGCCTGTGGGGTGTTTCAATGCAGGGTGTTTCAACTCTTATGGCCACTGCGCATCATAGCCAGCAATTTGCCGGCAAGGATCACATCATCTTCCAGGGCAATGGTGAGCCTGTCAGTGCGAAGAAGGCGCCTGGTTTGCTCTTGACCCAACGGGACCTCCAAAGCTTCCTGCGGGCAAGATTTGATGGATAGATCGATGGATTGACAGTTGAATGGATCAATGAATGTGTAGAGATGGGTAGCTACTTGGAGATATATATTTATATACTTATTTATATATTTATACAATATATATATATATATAATTGAAATATATATATATAACTATATATATATATATGTAATTATATATATATTATATATAGGGCTGGATGGTTGGATGGGTACAAAACAGCACAACAGGTAGATACAGGAGACATGCATATGTATATAAACCGATTGATAGATATAGAAAGATCGTGATAGATATGTCCATTTTTTGATTGATTTGGATTCCTTTGGAATTCAAACTGGTGATAGTGCAATGCAAACAATGATGGGTTTGCTACTGAACTTATGTGACCCCACCCATGAATCCTTCAAATCCGCTGGCATCGAATCATAGATGTTCTCACCAAGAGTTTGCAGCTCCAAGACGCAATGCTCTTCTTCAGCCAATAGATTCAAATTGGGCTCAGAACCCTTTGCCATGGCAACTCTACTCTGTTTGTTTGACACCCCCGAAACCTTGATGTGGTCACACTACAAGATGCGAACATGTGATCACACTACAAGATGCAACATGCCGCATTTCCCAATGGAGTTCAAATGGAGTTCACTCCATGGAGTTTAAGTGGAGCTCACCCCATTTCAACCAAGCTTCGCGTCCGCCACCTGCTGGAGGTGCTGGAAGCCCATCGGTGAATCTCCTGAGCGTCCTGACGTTGACCTGCATGCAGCGGCGATAGATCAGTGGGATGCGAAGGCTCTTAACCTTAAAACAATGAGTAAGTGTCCATGTGAAACAAATGTTGAACCTTTTCCCACTAACCTGTTGGTTTTCAACTCATCCCCGCCATCCCTGCCTGTTGAGCCATATCCATGTGGAACACACCGGTGCTTCGAAGTTCAGTCCGCACTTAGATGCATTGATCACAGCAACAAGTCAGTTGAGAGTTTAAAGCACTTTTAGATTGCATTGCTATGCCAACGGTTGACTATAGTCAGTTTCAGTGAGAGCTACAGCAATCCAATACCTGGAAATGGAACATGTTGAATTGCTCATGCCATCGGTTGACTGCTTTCAAGTGGATGTGGACTGCAATGCTGGCAAGTAGCAGCTTTGTACAGGCGGATTGTGCAAGCAAGACCATAGGCAAATCCAAGCCCAGTGAGCATGTTCTGGAATATCGGATCATCATTGTACTCAAAGCTCGCAGCAGCAAATCCATATTGCCTAAATGATGGGTCATGAAGAACAGCTTGGAACACTTTGTCCTGTGAACTGATTTCATGGTTTTGGGATAAAAACATCTTAGCATTCAGCTTCAGGTTGCTCTTACAACCACTGCCAAGAGACTGGAAGGCACCAGCCACGGTCTTGATGCCAGCGTATTTCTCCATGCACATCAGGGCCTGATTGGATGACACTGGGCCAGGGATCAACCTATAAAATAAACTTTGCCCCAATGATGAAAAGAAAGACTGCCTTCTAGCTTGGCTGATTGCCACATTAAATTGGGTTGATTGTGAATCCACATCTCACTGATTGAAGCCAAGATGCAATCTCTGGCCTGGTCATGTGCACCATCACGCTCTGGACAGTGCTCAGGATCGAGAACGGAGCCCCTCCAAGGATCAAAAGATTCAACCTGGGATGCCACACATGAAGTGGCCAGGAAGGGCCACGGGATTTCACAGGAAGGTTTGGGATCACCACCAAAACACTTTAATGAGAGAGAGAGATAATATATATATAATATATATATATATATTTGTAAATGGGGAAAACCAGAATGGTTTGAACAACAGAATGGTTATATCATATAATTATAATACTTGTCAAACCCCGTCTGGAAATTCAGAATGGTTTGAACCAATGGTTGTACCCACCAAATTGTTTAAGAGAGTTGGAGATAGTGGGATTTAAAATGGGAGAAGAATCGTTCAAATGGGTAATCCCTTATAAACCTTCAATGGGTAAACTCCGAGATGGGCAATGTGTGTAATGAGTTGGGAGTGCATTTATTTTTGGGCATACGGCATATTAAATATAAAATCAGAGTGTATGATATTTTATAATCATATCATATCATATCATGTTATAGTTTTTAAGTTACATTATATTATATTATTTTGTATTATTATATTTTATGATGGGATGGAATGACATGGGAAAGGAAACAAATAAGGTAAATCCCAAAATAACCATTTGAATTGGGAACAGATGAAGAACCACCAATTTTATTCAGGGTACCCTGTTTCCCCCAGGTATTGTTGAGACCCACATGTGTCAAAACCTAATGACTAATGAAACCAAAGAACACGAGCTGCAAGTTCGCATGTAACCCCGAAACAGGGTTGAATGGAACTCTCCGCTCCACTGGCGTCTTTCTAACCTTGGTCTTCTTTGACTTCAAATGTTTTTTTTTGAAAGTCCCGTAAACCTTTTTGCCCTTCTCGCCCTTTGAGCGGCGATTTGGCACTATCTCAGGCCCTGCCATGGCTGCAACTCAGAGCAAGGTTGATAGCCACAAAAATGTGTGGATATATCACCAAACCCAATGTGCAAAAAAAGGTGTTGTAAGAATGATATACCTGACATGTAGTGAACCTTATGCCTTTTGGATTTGAACGTGCAGTTGGTGACAAATGTTGCGTTGACTTGCATTGCTGCCAGCGCCGCAAATGCCTGCGCAAAAAAAGGTGGTGCAGGTGAACCCTCCCATGCCCTCCCAAGCCAATGCATTGCGGCAGCATGTGGGAGGCGCGCACCTCCTTGCTGCCAAAGCTGTTGCAATGCCAGCCATTCCATTGGGATAGCATCATGGTGACCATGGTGGAAATCTTGCCAGTTGATTTCTGCATGCTAGATTTTGCCAGGCGCTGTGCCAAAACCCTAGCAAAACATAATGCTGAAATCTGACAGCTTGGCAAAACCAAGGTTAAAACAAAGAAGCCCCTGCAGCTGGATATGGCCCGGCGAGGATCCGCTCAACATTCTGACCCTTCCACCAGCCCAGCCAGGATTGGTGTGATACCAAAAAAAACGTAGGAGAAACAACCATCTCTTGGAAAAAAATGGTTCCTCCCAGCGTGCAAACTTTCGAAAACATTCGGGCATGTCAATGTCTGTGCGTATAGATATATGTACATGTATGCTATAGCATATGTGTATTTAAACAGAGAAGCCACAACCAGAATGCACAGGCCCCGTTGTTGGAGCAAGAAGGAAGCCACAAACCCAAATGCTTTTTTTCTACCTAGACCTCCCAAAGTGGGAGGTATGGGAACAGGGGGTGGGCCAAAGAGCCCACCCCCCCACCACACACACAAGCCACACGCGCCTCACCCTCGTAGTCCTTGCAGTAGTAGGGGCCATAAGTGCCCCCCTTATGGGGGGCACCCTTTGACAAAGGGAGGCAGGGGGAAAAAAAAAACTATATGCACACCTAGGCGCGCTGGAGTCGTTGGTGGCCCCCTGACTTTGCAGGGGGCCACTGCATGCACCATGAATTTGGCAAGGAAAGCAGCCAAAAAAGGAGCACAGACCACCAAATGCTTTGCAAATATGCCAAGACAGCTGCAAGTGCAAGCATGTAATCATATATGCACTTTCATGGATATACAACAACTTTGACATTGTCGTGAGAGCTGAAGTTGTCGTGAGGCACTAATCCATGTACATATAACAACTTTGCCTTTCAACCATGTGCAAAGCACAACTTTGGGAGGTCTAGGCAAGACATGTCGAGGTAACTTGGAAGACGTTTTTGATGCTACGTTGATGACGTGGGGTGGGGTGGGGTGGGGGGGTGGGGGGGGTGTATTAACGTTCTGACGACCACGTCCTTGATACTACGTCGACAAGACATGTCGAGGTAACTTGGAAGACGTTCTTGATGCTACGTTGATGACGTGGGGTTGGGTGGGGTGGGTTTGGGTGGGGTGGGGGGGTGTATTAACGTCCTGACGACCACGTCCTTGATACTACGTCGACAAGACACGCCCAAAAAGAAGTTGATGAAAGATCCACACACAAAGTCCCTGTGTCCCTTTTTCGAACACCAAGTCTACGCATGGGCTTGGCGTAAGAACTTGGGCCAGTTGTCCGCAAAGATCTTTTTGCGGCAGCTCACCAAAATTTGGTGAACAGCACAGTAGTTTACCCGCATTTTTTGCAGAAGAGAACAAAAAGAGTTTTTGCCAAGAGTCACCGCAAACGAAACAAAAATCCCAATGGAATTTCAATGAGTTCAGCATCGCATGGAATTCATCAAATGGCTTTCCCTCACGGCGAAATATGAGCCGTGAACCTAGTAGTTAGTAGTAGTTGGTAGTACTGAATCCTAGTTAGTAGTAGCTCGTAGTAGTCAGTACTAGTTAGTCGTAGATAGTAGTGGTTAGTCGTCGTGAGAAGTAGTTAGTAGTACTTTGTGGTAGCCAGTAGCTGTTAGTAGTAGATAGCAGTAGTTAGTAGTAGTGAGTAGTAGATAGTAGTAGTTAGTACTATTGAGAAGTGTTTAGTACTTGTTCGTAGTAGTTTGTAATAGTTTTGACGCACTTGGTAGTAGTCAGTACTAGTCAGTAATAGTACGTAGTAGTTAGTAGTTAGTAGTTAGTAGTTAGTAGTTAGTAGTTAGTAGTGAGTAGTGAGTAGTGAGTAGTGAGTAGTCAGTAGTCAGTAGTCAGTAGTCAGTAGTCAGTAGTCAGTAGTCAGTAGTCAGCAGTAGCAGTCAGTAGTCAGTAGTCAGTAGTCAGTAGTTAGTAGTTAGTAGTTAGTAGTTAGTTAGTTAGTTAGTTAGTTAGTTAGGTAGGTAGGTAGGTAGGTAGGTAGTTAGGTAGGTAGGTAGGTAGGTAGGAAGGTAGGTAGGTAGGTAGGTAGGTAGGTAGTAGTAGTAGCTACTACTACTACTACTATTACTATTACTACTACTAATACTGCTGCTACTACTACTACTACTACTTCTACTTACTACTTACTACTACTACTACTACTACTACTACTACTACTACTACTACTACTAGTAGTAGTAGTAGTAGTAGTAGTAGTAGTAGTAGGTAGTACTTAGTAATAGTTAGTAGTAGTTAGTAGTTAGTGATCTCCACCGTGGCACACATCTTGATAACTTGGCTGAAACCCCCTTACCCTCCCCGGGCCCTCCTGGATGGACCCATCCCATTCGGGGGGGACCTCGCGGTCGGAAGACGGGATCATATGTATATATATATATATATACATACACATACATACACACTGTATACTGTATTTATATATATATATATATACACTGTTTACTGTGTATATATATATAAATTTTTATACGCACTGTATACACACATGAATTTCACAGTTGTAGATGCAGGATTTGCCATATCTAGCACATGTTATTTTGGGTCCAATTAGCTACTTGACCTGTGGTCGTCACACGAATTATCCAGTCGCGTTCGCCATGTATGATCTGATGAAGAGGAGTCCAGACTTTCTGTTCAATGGTTTTGTGCCTAAAAAACGATATCATCATGAGATGTTTGAGCGTTCTATTCGCATACAAACAGGGGCTGTGCTGAACCGCAAGACTGGGGGTCACTGGGGACAGAAAGGAATCGCTGGGCGTCAAGCCCTTTGACAGGATTTCTTCCGTTGATCCAGCGTCAAGCCAAGAAGCTGCTGCTGATTGCAAACAATTCTCATGCCTTGAATTCCTCGACTCTTGGCGAGGGACATAGAAGATGGGATAGAAAATGGGATAGAAGATGGTAGCCAATGAGAGCCTTAGTTTCACGGCCGCGAAGATAGGCTACAAATTTATTTAGATATCTAGACATTGAAAGAAATATTTAGATTTTTTAAGTATGCTAAAATATGTTAAGATTGTTTATTGCTATTTACTGCTTATATTCTGAAAGGTTGAGCCGTGATGGAGAGCTCCCATGAGACACTGGCATACAAAACTCCACAAAGTGGATCGTAGTTTCTTAATCCATTTTTTTGGATGGTCAGAATGTTGGGAAAAGTTTCAAATCTTTCATGGTAGCCCAACAAAAATCTCCCTTTTTGGACGATCACCTGCATATCATTTTGTACGTTCTAGGCTTTCCTCGAACTCAAATTCGACAACCCCCCAATTTCAAAAGAACAACTTCAAACTAAACTTCCGACCTAAACTTCTGACCCATCAATCCCCAAAGGTACGACTGGGCCAACGCGACAGCGGCCACCTTTGATCCCATTGCCGCAGGGGTTACAGACTGTGCCACCCTGCGTGCAGTGGGGAGTTCTTGGTGACTGTTAAATGTGGTTGATGTTAAATGGTTCATGGATTCGTTCATTTGTTTTAGGGGATCCCGAAAAGATACCTCTTGTCTTTTCTTTTGGGAAAGAATGCTGTTTACCATGGGCCTTTGTGGTCATTGGGCAGCCATTTTGGAAAATGTTAAAGGCACCCGGCAGCCATTCACCATGGACCATGGGTGGCACCGCAACTTACCATGGATCATGCCAAGATTGCAGATTGATAGTAAGCATACTTGGGTATAGTCGGTTTTTGGTGCATGCAAATGGAAATCAACTCATCCGGAATGAAGACTGGAGCCTCCAGAGGACTATAGACATCACGCATTTTTTTGGAGTACCATTCGAGCAGCGGAATTTATTTTTTCATTTCAGACTACAATTGTGGGATTCTTCGAGTAAGACACCCCCCGGAAACATGGAACCTGAAAAATGGGGCTTCAAAGATCCTTGAAATGTGGCAGTTATATGATGTTATACCAGTAGTACCGCACAAGGCGGTGGCGGAAGTTTCAAAAATAGGAAACCTATAGGAGAGGTTGGTTGTTGTGAATCAGGGATGGCAGAGCGAAGCCACTGATCGACTGAAAGATGCTTGATCTCTCTCGCTCTTTCTCTCTCTTTCTCTGACTATCTACCTACCTACCTATCTATGTTCTATGTATCTATCTATCTATCTATCTATCTATCGATCTATCTATCTATCTCTCTCTCTCTCTCTGATCTAATTACCCTATCTATCTATCTATCTACCTATCTATCTATCTATCTACCTATCTATCTCTCTTTCATCTGTCTATCTGTCTAGCTGTCTGCCTGTCTATCTGTCTATCTATCTATCTATCTGTCTGTCTGTCTGTCTATCTGTCTACCTCTCTATCTGTGGTGCAGTGTCATTCAGTGTAATGTAGTGTAGTGTAATGTAGTGTAGTGTAGTGTAGTGGAATGTAGTGTAGTGTAGTGTACTGTTGTGTAGTGTAGTGTAATTTTGTGTAATTGAGTGTAGTGGAGTGTAGTTGTGTAGTCGTAGTTGTAGTTGTAGTGTAATGGAGTGTAGTGGGGTGTAATGTAGTGAAGTGTAGTGGAAGGTAGTGTAGTGTAATGTAGTGTAGTGTAGTGGAGTGTAGTGTAGTGTATTGGAGTGTAGTGTAATGTGGTGTAGTGTAGTGTAATTTAGTGTAGTGGAGTGTAGTGGAGTGTAGTGGAGTGTAGTTGTGTAGTTGTGTAGTTGTAGTGTTGTGGAGTGTAGTGTAGTGTAATGTACTGTAGTGTAGTGTAGTGGAGTGTATAGTGTAGTGTAGTGACCCGAAGCGAAGCGAAGCGACATCTGAGCCTCCAAAAGTGGTCCGAACCCCAAGTGTTTTTAACATTTTGACTTCCAAATGTGCTTCGCGCCACAACGGCGTGCACTTTTTCGAGATCTGGACTTCCAAAAGTGGTCCGAACCCCTAGTGTTTTTAACATTTTAACTTCCAAATGTGCTTCGCGCCACAACGGCGTGCACTTTTTCGAGATCTGAACTTCCAAAAGTCGTCCGACACTGAGGTGCATTGCACATTTTGACCTCCAAATGTGCTTCGCGCCACAACGGCGTGCACTTTTTCGACATGTCAACTGCCAAAAGTGCTCCGCACCTGGTGTGTTTTGTGCATTTTGACTTGGAAATGTGCTTCGCGCCACAACGGCGTGCGCTTTTTCTACATCTCAACTGCCAAAAGTCCGCATCTGGTGTGTTTTGTGCATTTTGACTAGGAAATGTGCTTCGCGTCACAACGGCGTGCACTTTTTCTACATCTCAACTGCCAAAAGTGGTCCGCACCTGGTGTGTTTTGTGCATTTTGACTAGGAAATGTGCTTCGCGCCACTACGGCGTGCACTTTTTCTACATCTCAACTGCCAAAAGTGGTCCGCACCTGGTGTGTTATGTACATTTTGACTTGGAAATGTGCTTCGCGCCACAACGGCGTCCAATTTTTCATCTCTCATCTGGCCAGCTGGCTTCGCACCCGCCGCTTTAGCGAGCCTACTTTTCGACCCTCCAGAGCCCCAAATCATTGGAAAAACACAGTGTTTCGCGACTTTCCTACCTTTTCACGCATCTGCATCTTCTTTCTTCTTACTCTTCTTCTTTCTTCTAATCTTTCTCTTCTCTCTGCGTCTTCCCTGCTCTGCTTTTCATCTGTCCATATTGTCGAAAGTTTGACTTCTAAACTTCCTTCGATAATGTTATATATGTGGGTTCAATCAGAAATTTCTGGCGGCAGATTGAATATGTTCCACCGACCATTGCTCACCAAATCGGGAAACATCGGAACTGTTCCGAGCAGGTCTACCCCTTCTTCGGATTCTCCAGCGGTGCCCGACCCAGGGGAGCAAAGAAGAATTTGAGGGCATTGAGCCAAGAAATCATGGTTGGCCGATTGACTTCAACGATGATACTCCCCTTCGCAGAGTTCACATTTTTTGATCGAAGCAGTAGAAGGGAAGGTTCGACGATCCGATAGGAGCGCTGTGTATATAGGTATTCTTCTCCCACTGGTTGGTCAATCAACTGAGGTACCAGGGAACACTTTCCATATTTTTCCATAGTGCAAATGCTCTCAAGGTGCTTGGAGTCGAAGGCTTACTCCCTAGTAAACTCACATAGATCCTGGAGAAGCCACCATTTGCAGATCATTTTCCGGGAACAGCATGGGTTTTCCTCATGGTAAGTTCGGCATGTTCGGCTCTGTAGGGGCTGCGTTGCTTGGTGTCCTTGTTGGGTACCAACTGAACATGGCCAATTTGGAATCATCTCAGAGAGCAGCAGATGGTCAAGCAGAATCCTGAGATATGTATAGCTGTTCGATTCTAGCCATATCGGATTGCTTGAACTTGATGCTAGAATTGCCATGATTGATGACTAGGAATCCCTACCAGCCTCAGAACGAATCCAGAAGAGGTATCTGAATCCAAACTGTCCCGCAAGTGTACTATAATCTTCGCCCCAACTACCAGTGAATGATGACCCCCATGGAAATCCATATTAGTCACCACCTATGGGGGAGTTTCAGGAGAAACTCTTGACCAAGGCGCATGTCAAGGTGCAGTTTACTCCCATGACCAAGTCTTCGCGAAAGAGCTTCTGTTCCCATTGGCCCAGGAGATCCGACATGTACAGAAAAAAATCTGAGTTAAAAGGGGAACATTTGCCAACGGGATGTATGACCGGTGATCAAACGTGGCAATGGAAAATCCTCCATTTATAGATAATATGTGTTAATATTCCTATCAGAGTATCCAATTCGTGCAGGGATTTGCCAGCCAGCCATGTTTGCGTACCTGAGAGTAATAGGATATAATAACTTAACTCACCAACTGTAGGGGATATGGGAGGATATGGGAGGTAGAGGATGCTCGTTGTGTCTACCGGAAGCCTCGGACTAGCAGCGTGTCGTTGTTGGATTATTCAATGATGCTGATGCTCGATGAATTATTCAGCATGAGGGTATGAGCATGGATCAAGGGGTGTTTCAGTTTACGCGACAATAGCTGGACAAGTTGTTTGTATGTAGCAAATATTCCTTCCCACTAACATCCATTCAAGAACTATCACAATATTATATATATATATACCACTTTAAATCAACAAACACATGGTTTAGGTTTAGTATTGGGTATACCCCCCGCTAGTCAAACAAACATGGCTGGAAAATGGACCATTTCCTTCGATGATTTTCCTAATGTTAGACACCACCCCGCAAAGCCATGGTTTAGTAGGGGATTTACATATGCTTGGGGCGATTTGAGGGGTGTTTAGTAACTATTAAGGGGGGATGGGCTTACAAATAAATTTTAATCAAAGGAAGTTGGGAAGCAATACTTCCGAGTTACGAATGACTTTTACTTGGTGCAATTGACTATGATGAAGGGTGGTAGATCATGTAACAATACATAATGTACCAATACATCACAAAAGAATAAGAAGCAATGAAATTGACCTTGAGGAAGGGTGGTAGATCATATAACAATACACAATATATAACAATACATAATCTAATCAAAGGAAGTTGGGAAGCAATACTTCCGAGATACGGAAGTGGCGACGAAGGGAAGTGATGATGAAGGGGAGTGGTGACGAAGGGAAGTGGTGAGGAGGGAAGTGGTGAAGAAGGGAAGTGGTGAGGAAGGGAAGTGGTGAAGAAGGGAAGTGGTGACGAAGGGAAGTGGTGAAGAAGGGAAGTGGTGAGGAAGGGAAGTGGTGAAGAAGGGAAGTGGTGAGGAAGGGAAGTGGTGAAGAAGGGAAGTGGTGACGAAGGGAAGTGGTGAAGAAGGGAAGTGGTGAAGAAGGGAAGTGATGATGAAGGGGAATGGTGACGAAGGGAAGTGGTGAGGAAGGGAAGTGGTGAAACAGGGAAGCGATGATGAAGGGGAGTGGTGACGAAGGGAAGTGGTGAGGAAGGGAAGTGGTGACGAAGGGACGTAAGTGATGATGAAGGGGAGTGGTGACGAAGGGAAGTGGTGACGAAGGGAAGTGGTGAAGAAGGGAAGTGGTGAAGAAGGGGAGTGGTGACGAAGGGAAGTGGTGAGGAAGGGAAGTGGTGGAGAAGGGAAGTGGTGAGGAAGGGAAGTGGTGAAGAAGGGAAGTGGTGACGAAGGGAAGTGGTGGAGAAGGGAAGTGCTGAGGAAGGGGAGTGGTGACGAAGGGAAGTGGTGAGGAAGGGGTGTGCAGATCGCATTGGAATGGCTGCATGAATGTTGCATGCCGTGTGTTGTGGGGAGGAAGCCGGAGCACGAAACCTTGTGTTTTTCCGTGTAAAGTGGCTGCAGCCGGCGATGAAAGGTACCTCGTGTGTGCGGCGGGTGCAGCTGCGGTCGTTTCTGTCGCGAATTGTTCCTCCTATGTGTTTTGCAACGAGTGGTTGTTCCTGTGTGCGTAGTTCTATGCGTTTCTTGAAGCTGTGGTGGCAGATCGCATTGGAATGGCTGCATGATTGTTGTCATTTGGTGTTGCCACGTCCGTAGATAGGTGCAGGTTTGCTACGGGATGCTGCGAAACGCAGTGTAATGGCTGCATGAATGTTGCATGGGCTATGTTGTGGGGAGGAAGCCGGAGCACGAAACCTTGTGTTTTTCCGTGTAAAGTGGTTGCAGCCGGCGATGAAAGGTACCTCGTCTGTGCGGCGGGTGCGGCTGCGGTCTTTTCTGTCGCGAATTGTTCCTCCTATGGTTGGAAAAAGACGGGGGTGGGAAAGGGTCTGCGTTCCCCTATACCTGCTTTCCCTTTTATTCTTTTGCAAACGAGTGTTTGTCCTGTGTGCGTAGTTCTATGCGTTTCTTGAAGCTGTGGTGGGTTGCAGATCGCAAATGGAATGGCTGCATGATTGTTGTCATTTGGTGTTGCCACGTTCGTAGATAGGTGCAGGTTTGCTGCGGGATGCTGCGAACCGCAGTGTAATGGCCGCATGAATGTTGCATGGGCTATGTTGTGGGGAGGAAGCCGGAGCACGAAACCTTGTGTTTTTCCGTGTAAAGTGGCTGCAGCCGGCGATGAAAGGTACCTCGTCTGTGCGGCGGTTGCGGCTGGGGTCGTGTCTGTCGCGAATTGTTCCTCCTATGTGTTTTGCAACGAGTGGTTGTTCCTGTGTGCGTAGTTCTATGCGCTTCTTGAAGCTGTGGTGGCAGATCGCATTGGAATGGCTGCATGATTGTTGTTATTTGGTGTTGCCACGTGTGTAGATAGGTGCAGGTTTGCTACGGGATGCTGCGAAACGCAGTGTAATGGCTGCATGAATGTTGCATGGGCTATGTTTTGGGGAGGAAGCCGGAGCACGAAACCTTGTGTTTTTCCGTGTAAAGTGGCTGCAGCCGGCGATGAAAGGTACCTCGTGTGTGCGGCGGGTGCGGCTGCGGTCTTTTCTGTCGCGAATTGTTCCTCCTATGTGTTTTGCAACGAGTGGTTGTTCCTGTGTGCGTAGTTCTATGCGTTTCTTGAAGCTGTGGTGGCAGATCGCATTGGAATGGCTGCATGATTGTTGTCATTTGGTGTTGCCACGTCCGTAGATAGGTGCAGGTTTGCTACGGGATGCTGCGAACCGCAGTGTAATGGCTGCATGAATGTTGCATGGGCTATGTTGTGGGGAGGAAGCCGGAGCACGAAACCTTGTGTTTTTCCGTGTAAAGTGGCTGCAGCCGGCGATGAAAGGTACCTCGTCTGTGCGGCGGGTGCGGCTGCGGTCGTTTCTGTCGCGAATTGTTCCTCCTATGTGTTTTGAAACGAGTGGTTGTTCCTGTGTGCGTAGTTCTATGCGTTTCTTGAAGCTGTGGTGGCAGATCGCATTGGAATGGCTGCATGAATGTTCTTTCGCAGCCTTGATGCAGCCATTCCAATACGATTTACGATCTTCAGCTGCAAAAGACAATAGTATTACGCATGCAGCCGCTGCACCGAGCACTTTTAAAATTCTTTTTAAAAAGTGCTTCAAAATCGTCTTTTTGTCGCTTTGGCGTCGAGATCCGGTTTTGGAGCTGCAATTTCCGATGCCATTGCACGTAGTTCTAGTGTGTTTCGCAACTCAGTCTCTGCAGATCGCATTGTAGTGGCTGCGTCAAGGTTGCTTGGTGCAGCGGCTGCATGCGTAATACTATTGTCTTTTGCTGAAGATCGTAAATCGTATTGGAATGGCTGCATCAAGGCTGCGAAAGTGATTTGTCAGCAGATTTTCTCAATTTTGGCGCTAATAATTTTCCTTTTAAAATTCCTTTTAAAAAGTGCTTCAAAATCGTCTTTTTGTCGCTTTGGCGTCGAGATCCAGTTTTGGAGCTGCAATTCCTGTTGTGATTATGTACAAGAAAGCTTCTCTGTGCAATTGTTTTTTTCTGTAAAAGCTTGCTGTGTGTAAATGCTTCTCCGTGTGTAAAAGCGTCTCTGTGTAAAAGTTTCTGTGTGTGTAAACGCTTGCCATGTGTAAAAGCACTGTGCGTAAGTGTTCTGTGTGTAAACGCTTGCTGTGTGTGAAAGCTTGCTGTGTGTAAAAGCTTCTCTGTGTAAAAGCTTGTTGTGTGTAAAAGTTTCTCTGTTTAAAAAGCTTGCTGTGTGTGTAAACGCTTGCCATGTGTAAAAGCACTGTGTGTAAGTGTTCTGTGTGTAAACGCTTGCTGTGTTTGAAAGCTTGCTGTGTGTAAAAGCTTCTCTGTGAAGAAGCTTGCTGTGTGTGAAAGCTTGCTGTGTAAAGCTTCTCTGTGTAAAAGCTTGTTGTGTGTAAACGCTTGCCATGTGTGTAAGTGTTCTGTGTGTAAACGCTTGCTGTGTTTGAAAGCTTGCTGTGCGAAAAAGGTTTTGCGTGTAAAAGCTTGCTGTGTGTAAAAGCCTCTCTGTGTGTAAAAGCGTCTCTGTGCAAAAGTTTCTGTGTGTAAACGCTTGCCATGTGTAAAAGCACTGTGCGTAAGTGTTCTGTGTGTAAACGCTTGCCGTGTGTGAAAGCTTGCTGTGTGTAAAAGCTTCTCTGTGTAAAAGCTTGTTGTGTGTGAAAGCTTCTCTGTTTACAAAGCTTGCTGTGTGTGTAAACGCTTCCCATGTGTAAAAGCACTGTGTGTAAGTGTTCTGTGTGTAAACGCTTGCTGTGTGTGAAAGCTTGCTGTGTGTAAAAGCTTCTCTGTGAAGAAGCTTGCTGTGTGTGAAAGCTTGCTGTGTAAAGCTTCTCTGTGTAAAAGCTTGTTGTGTGTAAACGCTTGCCATGTGTGTAAGTGTTCTGTGTGTAAACGCTTGCTGTGTTTGAAAGCTTGCTGTGCGAAAAAGGTTTTGCGTGTAAAAGCTTGCTGTGTGTAAAAGCCTCTCTGTGTGTAAAAGCGTCTCTGTGCAAAAGTTTCTGTGTGTAAACGCTTGCCATGTGTAAAAGCACTGTGCGTAAGTGTTCTGTGTGTAAACGCTTGCCGTGTGTGAAAGCTTGCTGTGTGTAAAAGCTTCTCTGTTTAAAAAGCTTGCTGTGTGTAAAAGCTTCTCTGCGAAAGAACTTGATGTGTGTAGAAGCTTTGTAGTACAAAGTAGTACTGGAACGTGTTTTGTGCAAGCCTTGTAGTACAAAGTAGTACTGGGAAGTAGTTTGTGCAAGCTTTGTAGTACAAAGTAGTACTGGGGAGTGCTTTGTGCAAGCTTTGTAGTACAAAGTAGTACTGGGAAGTGTTTTGTGCAAGCTTTGTAGTACAAAGTAGTACTGGGAAGTGGTTTTTGCAAGCTTTTGTAGTAGACATCAGTACTGGGAAGTACTTGACATAAAAATAGCCAAGAAGAACTTAGCTGACATATGGGAAGACATGGAATAAGATGAGAAGAGCTCAGATGAGATGAGTTGAGATGAAGTGCAAGTGTGAAGTGTGGAGTGTGGGGTGTGAAGAGTGCAATGTGAAGTGTGAGGAAAGTGTTTGCATTGTACCGGGGTTGCGCGCAGGTCATGTTCTTGGACAGCAACACTGCAACAGCTTCGCACAAAGCACGCACGCACGGGCCTGGCTGGCGCACGGCGCATGCAAGTTCCTTAGTAGTAGTACTGGGAAGTGATTCATGAAAGCTTAGGTGACATATGAGAAGAGATGAGATGAGAAGAGATGAGCTGGGATAAGGTGAGAAGAGCAAAGATGAGATGAAGTGTGGAGTGTGAAGAGTGCAGTGTGAAGTGTGGGGCGTGAAGAGTGCAGTGTGAAGTGTGGAGTGTGAAGTGTGAAGTGTGGAGTGTGAAGTGTGAAGTGTGGAGTGTGAAGTGTGAAGTGTGCAGTGTGGAGTGTGAAGAGTGCAGTGAGAAGTGTGAAGGGCGAAGTGGAGCTTCAAATGTGACATGTGAAACAAGACACCAGTTTCGCAGAGTGCACGCACGCACGGGCTTGGCTGGCGCACGGCGCATGCAAGTTCTATAGATGAGAAAGGTCTTATATATATATATTTTTAAGGCAACTTCCGCCCCGCCTCGTGCGGGTACTACTGGTATATTATGATAAATTGTTAAAAACATTTAATAACATTAATATCAGTATCATTATTAATTTGATTTGAATGATACCATGCTGTAAACTAACATAGCTACAGATATCACCATTTTTGTTCATAGGTAAATCAACTATAAATGGTTCATCTTCAATAGCTATATGTTAGTTTACCAGAGGGTATGTAATAAGGGGATTGTCCATTTCCTTCGATGATTTCCCCAGGAGATCAGGGAGTTGGTGGCTCAGGGCAAACCTGTGCTGATCTACCGGAAGTTTCGGGTGCTGCCCAACGCATGGTTCGGCATCACTGGCGGTTGGGAGGTGGAATCTCAGCGGTTGTTTGTTCTGTCGTTTTTTAGGAGAGTTTATGGATCTCATGAATGGAGTTCAACTTTTTGAATAGGAAAGGGGATAACTTTAGATAGTCAGATAGTCAGACAGATAGATAAATAGGTAAATAGACAGATAGATAGATAGATAGATAGATAGATAGATTGATAGATAGATAGATAGACAGATAGATAGAGAGATAGGGAGATAGATGAGATAGAGAGATAGATGAGATAGAGAGATAGAGAGATCGATAGATCGGTAGATAGATAGGCATATATATATATATAGATAGATAGATGGGCAAATGCACAGATAGACAGATAGACAGGTATACAGATAGACAGATAGACAGGTAGACAGACAGATAGACAGGTAGACAGATCGACAGATAGACAGGTAGACAGATAGACAGAATGACAGATAGACAGAAAGACAGACAGACAGATAGAGAGGTAGAGAGATAGAGAGCTAGAGAGACAGAGGGATAGATATATATATATATAGATAGATAGATAGAAAGATAGATAGACATAGATCGAAATAGATCGAAATAGATCTAAATAGATCTAAATAGATCTAAATAGATCTAAATAGACCTAAATAGATCTAAATAGATCTAAATAGATCTAAGTAGATCTAAATAGATCTAAATAGACCTAAATAGATCTAAATAGATCTAAATAGATCTAAATAGATCTAAATAGATCTAAATAGATAGATAGATCTAAATAGATAAATATAAATAAATAAATAGATATATCGATCGATAGATTCTAGATAGACCGATTCTAGATAGATAGACTCTATATAGATTCTTGATAATAGATAGATAGATAGATAGATAGATGGATAGATAGATAGATAGATAGATAGATAGAAGGATAGATAGAAGGATAGATAGCTAGCTAGATAGATAGATAGATAGACAGATAGATCGATAGATCGATAGATCGATAGATATATCGATAGATCAATAGATCGGTAGATCGATAGATCGATAGATCGATAGATAGATTGATGGATAGATAGAGAGATAGAGAGATAGAGAGATAGATAGATCTATAGATAGATAGATATCAATAGATATCAATAGATATCATCAATAGATATCAATAGATATCAATAGATATCAATAGATATCAATAGATATCAATAGATACCAATAGATATCAATAGAGATCAATAGAGATCAATAGATATCAGTAGATATCAATAGATATCAATAGATAGATATCAATAGATTGGTATAAATAGATTGGTATAAATAGATAGATATAAATATATAGATATCACTAGATTGATATAAATATATAGATATAAACAGATAGATACAACTAGATATATTTGGATAGATAGATCGATAGATAGATAGATAGATAGATAGATTAGGATAGATTAGGATAGATTAGGATAGATAGATAGATAGATAGATAAATAGGTAGATAGATTAGATTAGATAGATGGATAGATAGATAGATAGATAGACAGATAGATAGAGAGATAGGGAGATAGAGAGATAGAGAGATAATGAGATAGAGAGATAGAGAGATAGAGAGATAGAGAGATAGAGAGAGAGAGAGAGATAGATAGATAGATAGATAGATAGACAGACAGACAGACAGATAGATAGATAGATATCAATATACGTACATAAATAGATAGATATAAATAGATAAACAGATGGATCGATAGATATACAAGAGGAGACCCAGAGCCTTAGCCGCTTTTGGGTTCGCTTTGCCATCCATGCATCACGACAACTCACCGCTCCAAAAAAGGTTTCCTATCTTTCTAACTTCCGCCGCCGCCTCGTGCGGTACTGGTATTCAATGATTCCTCCATCTAACAAACCCTGCCGTGAACTGGATTTTGGAAGCCAACTTTCTGAAATTGGAATGGGCGATCTGTAGGGCCTATTATGTTTTGTCAATTGTAGGGCCTATGTTTGATAGGGGGTAAGAAAATGAATAGAATCTAAGAAACAAATCATGGACAGGATTAGGCTGCCAGAGTGTCTGAGCCGCTGACCAAAAATTATTTGTAGTACCAGATGGGGATTGATTGACAAGACGGGTAAATGTTGAAACTTTGGAATTTCCAGATGTTTCCAGCACATTCTGTTTGAGCATCACATCTGTGTGATTATCATAGCTGGACACGAGATGTTCAATTGCTTATCCCATGAACAGCAGGTTTGGAATGCATCTGCACAGCTACAGTCCAAACATAGTTCTCAGTAAGACGTCAATCTCCTCGTGAGACTTTTGGGTAATCCATGATGTTTCAAAACAAAATGACCAGCACGATCCCAATACCAGAGATAAATATACGACACGTTGATGGAATGGCTCTGCAGGAATGGGCGGGCATGGGACTCACAGATGTGAGAGAGAGAGAGAGAGTGTGTGTGTGTGTCTGAAAATGATGTATTACACATTATTACATGGTATTACCCGACATGGAAATGGTGTATAATTCATCAGAGGTGTTCCCTTTGTTTCAGAGCCATGTTGGGCATTTTTGATGCAGTGGACCATCGGGCACAATGAGGTGCCCGGGAAATTATATAAAAAATTCATTTAGAAAGTCATGAAACTGTAAAACAATCCATTGATATCCATTGTTTGATATTAATTATAAACCCCCAGGTTAAGGCAGTTCTACACCAGCGGCTACCTATTCAGGTGTTCCCTTGTGGTTTTCGGAATCGGATGTTTCAGTTCTTCTAGGCATCCCTTAGGCATCCACTTCGCCGCTGGCCTAGGAATTTCTGTTGCTGTATCTTGAAAAGGCGGAACACTTTGAACAACAACTGCCTGATGATACACGAGCCGAACTTGCCAAGGGCAACAAGGGGGCTTTTCTGGGGCGTCTTGGTATGAAAACTCTGATCTGGATGAGCAAGTTTCAATGGGGACAGGGTGAAACCATTTTAAAGCCGTCTCTTTACTGTCAGATGTGTTCATTCTGAGGTTCCATCTGGGGAATGGGTTTTGTTTTGGGATGGGAGTACTTTCCAGGAGTTGGTGCATCGCACTTCCACCTGCGAAGGCTTCACAAATCATGACCGCTCGAAATGTCCATCATAATGATAAGAACTTTGCCCAAACTACATCAAGTTACCACATCAAAGCTTATTCTTGGGGTTTGTCTCTGAAAATGAGGTATACCCCAATCCCACTGGTCAATCATATTTTTCACCTTTAAGCTTTCAAACGTCCATAAATTGTGGTGTATTTGCAGACAAAACCATTTGATCCCATATATCATCGAGTTTTCATCAGCTTCAAACCAAACCATATAACCACATCCCCAGCTCAAATTCCACATGTCCATTAAGAAAAACTACATCCAGCACGGTTTCTGCGGGGTAAGGCCTGTTCAAAGTGGCCTAGTGGCAACATCGCCAGGGTTCGCAACAGGTACCCATTCTACCAAACGTTGGAAGAGAACGCTCCGGACATCACCGGCTTGACGACTCCGCAGGTGGCTGGACAATTTTGCAAGAAACTGGAGGTTTTTATAGAGCTGGGACATTGAGAAACGTGGATTTTCCAGCAAGCCATGGAGCTGATTACCAGAGGGTATACCATACATATACCATCATATACCCTGACTTATAGCAATTGAATGCAATTGAAAGAGCGAAAATGATGATAGGTTTGTTTGAAACTGGGGTACCCCAAAATCTCCTGGTGTCTCATGATTTTCCCTGTTAGATAAATTGCCATAACTTGGTGATACCCAATTTCTGGGCCCGAAGTTGCTTCGGCAATTGGCAGCCCCAAAGCTTTATTTTTCCAGGATATCCCAGCCACACCAGTTCCCCCTCCGAGGTAAGTCTTCTCGCGGCTCAAGCAGAATATTCCCTGAAGGAAAATGCTGCGCTGCTGAAACAGTTCCTAGGAGTATACTGAGATGAGCTGCCGTGATGAATGAGCTGCCGTGATGAATATGCCCAAAATGGCCGTTGTGTAGGTAGATGCACACCCAAGGATCATTAGAAAGTGTACCAGGATAAGGTGACAGCACGGAGCACGGAGCACAGATCCTGCCAGACTTGTTGACATTTGGATGGCTTTAACTCCAAATGGAGTAATCCATTGACGATGAGGCTTCAAAACAGGCCGAAAGTCGCTGGCAGGGCGGGTCGCACAATGGTCATGTCACCCGCCACTGTGTTTGAAATCCGACGTGCGAGACAAAAGCAGACGTCTTTGCGCGGGGATGCACGTGAGCTCGTGAGGATCTATAGATTGGTCATGTAGTAAACTGGTAAACCCAACAATTAGATCCAGACTTACAAGATGGTGCCCCAAAAAGCTATGCTTTTTGGTTTGTCGCCCGGAAATGAACTACATAATACTTTGGATATCTTTTAGATACTAGTAGCGGTTAAGCCGCTGCATCTTGCATGTTTTACAACATACCCCATCAATCTTGGAACTGTCACCTCATTTTGCCCATAGACTGAACATATCTGAAAATCACAAACATATATTTGGATTTTGAGTTTGTTTGGTGATTTTTAAGTCCGTTTGAGGGATTTTTGAGTCCGTTTTGATCGAAAAACTGGGTGTGTTTTTTTCATGGCTTTGATGCCTTGTGCATCAAAATCAACTCTCTAATTGTTCATTTTTTGCATGGCTGAGGTCAAGTGTTCCATTACCCCAGGTTTTTGATTCAGTCTTGAGGATCTTCTTGAGTAGTCGGCCGTATGTTTGATGATTACAAACTTTTCTAATTAAAAATCAATGAAAAAATATACATATACATAATTGTGTGAGCTTTTCACTTCCTGAGTTTTTTTCCCATCCCTCATTTTTGGTCCCTCCGTTGCTCGCGGCCCGAGGCCTTCTATAGCCCCCGGGCGGCCGCCAGGAGTTTGCTGGCGGTGGCACAGGTGCTGCGGCGCATTCATCGCGACGGCTTTGCCCCTTGGACTCCTTGGACTCGGCGCTTCAAAAGGAGATTCCTTGATGATTTAACGATATGATGATGATAATAATTTGATTATATGATGTCATATCAATTTAATATCATAGATATTATTTGAATATGGGTATAATTTATAGGTTCCATTGAAACATGAAATTTTGAAAGATGATGTACCTCTGAAAAAGGGTGATTTAACCATGAAAACGATGCACTTATCCATGATAAATTGTGATTGAACCATCAAAAGGAAAATATATGGTTACAATATGGTTATGATATGATTATAATATGGTGAAACTATGATTATAATTCAGTAGTCAAAACAAAGGTTTAATAGTGGACAACACCACAACATTACCATATATATATAATTTGGGGTGTAATAATGGGCATATAATATGAATGAAACCAATCCTATCTGAAAACCACAAAATCTACCCCAAACCCTGTTGATTGATGATTTGTCCAGGGGTTACATATACTACCCTTTATGTACATACATACATACATGCATGCATGCATGTTTGCATACATACATACATACATACATACATACGTACGTACGTACATACATACATACATACATAGATAGATACAAAGATACATAGATACATACATACATACATGCATGCATACATAGATAGATAGATAGATAGATACATATATACATGCATGCATAGATAGATAGTTAGATAGATAGATAGATAGGTAGATACATACATACATACATACATAGATACATAGATACATAGATACATAGATAGATAGATAGATAGATAGATAGATACAAGCATACATACATAGATAGATACATACATACATACATACATGCATGCATACATAGATAGATAGATACATATATACATGCATGCATACATACATAGATAGATAGAAAGATAGATAGATAGATAGGTAGATAGATAAATAGATAGAGAGATAGAGAGATAGATAGATAGATAGATAGATAAATAGATAGATAGATAGATAGATAGATAGATTGATAGATTGGTAGATTGATAGATTGATAGATTGATTGGTAGATTGATAGATTGATAGATTGATAGATTGATGGATAGATGGATAGATGGATAGATGGATAGATGGATAGATGGATAGATAGATAGATAGATAGATAGATAGATAGATAGATAGATAGATAGATAGATAGATGCATACATACATACATAGATACACAGATAGATAGATAGATAGATAGATAGATAGATAGATAGATACATAGATAGATAGATAGATAGATAGATAGATAGATAGATAGATATGTAGGTAGATAGATAGATAGATAGATAGATAGGTAGATACATAGATAAATACATAGATACATAGATACATAGATACATAGATACATAGATACATAGATAGATACATAGATACATAGATACATAGATACATAGATACATAGATAGATACAGGATACATAGATACATAGATACATAGATACATAGATACATATTGGAGATGATAAAACAGTCCACAACCCGGGAACTCCGTTTTTAGCCAACCAGTTTTTGAATGGACGACCGGGGGCTTTGAACATTGCTCGTTTTGTTTGGAGTTTAATTGATACATCTCCAAGTAAAATTGGCGATAGAGTAAATGTGCAAAGGAGTACATGTGCCATGGTCAAAAGTTGGATTGTATTTTCATATTGGGATATGGTTGTCAATTCATTGGAGTCACTCTTTACCCATGATTTTTGCACCACCCCCGGGATTGGTTAAGTTATGGTTGACAGAGATGTTGAGTGGACTGGAGCATTTTGCCCCCTGACATGACTAGATTGAACATCCCATGAAGCAGGGAAACATATATGGGATGATCATCTATAGATGGGTGATGTTCCAGCGAGCCGGGTTAACATATAGACTTAGATGCCTTGTGTTAACGAGTAATTAATAAATCAGACTAGCATAGACTAGCCAGTTTTGTTAGTTTGCCAACATATCAAGCCAACTGCAGATATTAATCCACCTGTAGTTAGTACAGTGATAGCCAACTTACTATAACTTTCCCATTTGGTCAGCATGATCATATATTATCATACTGATCAGCCATTGATATGGGATAAGCCCACGACTTGCCAAGTGGGATGGTCCTCCAGGTAGGCCCTTGACATCAGTCTCCATTGTGTTGACCACGTGGGTCCGACATTAAAATTGGCTGCACGTTCCAAGTGGCTACACGTCTAAACATAGGGTTACTCCCAAAAAAGATCAAAAAAGAACATTTGTTATATATGATATGTGGTTATCATCTTGTGATCCCTTTACACCATATTTAAAACCATATTTGAATCGTAATTTTGCCTAAACTTTCAGACGCAACCGGCGTGATCCATCCGGCCCGCCTGGTGAGACCGGTGAGACCCCAGGTCTATAACGATTTACACGACGGCAACATCTTACGCCGACTTGACATGGTCACTTGGCCCAGCGAAAAGGCGCCACGTAGCTGCGGGGAACGCGTAGCTGCGTAGCGAAAAAGTCCCCAAAAGACGGATCTATAGGGTGCATTTGCGGTTCAGACCATTTAGTAAGTTTGTCAGACCCCAGTTACAGTATGAGTGGGCGATCACTTTACTTGCCAAACCTACAACATCCTATAACCATGTGTGTAATACACAACCAACTTCCTAAGCAGGAGGAACCGCCAAGTTGCGCCACAGCGATGTTGGGCGATTCTATGGGTAGAATAACTGGTCCGGGCTTGTTATGAGCTGCAAGTCGAGGCAGCAAATCATGTCCTGCAGAAGCATCATTGAATCATTCTTTTGAGGGACACTCATGCACTATATATTTATTCACACTAAGTCAAGATGGTATCGCCCCAATTAAAGAGCACAGAAGCCTTTGAAACTGGATTGACATGAGTTGTAACCTCATTAATCCCTATCATACCCCATTCATGGTTGGTGCTTATGATACTTCTAGGCAATGGGAAAGGATTGGCTTTTAATATGATCAGGGGGTGAATAAGGCCTAATCACCATGATATACTGGATACATCGTGTTTTCACATCTTTTCACATATATAGTGGTTTTACTTGTCCCTCTATTTGGGATGATGATCTGTGTGACGTGTGTGATAGTGTTAATCAGGACTAAAAACCACCAATAAATTTGTTCAATGTCCAAGAAATCAGCAGCACTGAACATCAGATAACTAATCTAAGTCTAAAAATGACTTGCTATCGCTTGGCCCCCCCATCCTGTATGATTCAAGAATTGTTGGGATGCCTGCCGGCTGGGTCTGCGCTTTCCTCATCTCTATTGAGGACAGCTACAAAGTGATTGATCTGGGCTCCGTCACACGTGCTTTGGCAGCCCTGAACGTTGCTATGTAACTGGGAACTGGCACTGAGTCGTTTCCCCTTCTATCCTAGTTACTTATTATATGGGAGCCGATCGCAAATGCAAGTCCAAGAAATATGAAAGGGCATGTGTATTTCAGCATTCGCGATTGTAAAACCCTGCGTCGCGATTGATCGGCGATTGGTTCGCGATAGACAGATATTTGTTGTAGAAGAATCGACTATTGTAAGAGGAGAAATCATGAGAAATCAACAATTATATTTTAATGGCACGATAATTATGTGACATTTCAGCCTTATACTGTATTTGGGTCTGCCTTGACACTGTGTTCAATAGTGATAGCAAATAGCAAAGAAGAATCAGAACAAGTTCAAAGTCTAACAACCCAGATTAAATCAATTTTTAATACATGTCGATGAAATCCGCGATTGGTTCGCGGTTGATCCGCGATTGCCCCGCGATTGCTAAACCTGCCTGGGTAGGCCCTGGCTCACGCCATGTCTTTAGATACTGTGATATGTAGCAATGTTTTGACGATTCTCGGCGCAAAATAATGTTGCATACGACAGAACCCTCCCGCGATTGACACCGTTGGGATCGCGGTTGATTCGTGGTTGATCGGCGATTGTAGCTGACCCAGATAATCTATTTTGATCAACACCCATATAGTTATACCTAAGTTACAACCTGCTTGCCAACCACTTACTTTCCGTCCTTCTCAAGTGGGTCACAGCGGGTTTTTGATTTTAAATTTAAAATCTTAAGCCTAGAATGAAATGATACCATTTTTTACATGTGAACATTTGTTGGAATCGACCGATCTAAATGATGCATTTCCAGGTTGGATGGCTTGCCGGCTCTTGCTGGCTGGTGGTTTCCAATCTTTGCCTTATTTTCCATTCTACCTGGTGCTTTTGGTTGAGGCTCTGTTTAGAATATTTCTTGATTGGGTGGCTTAAGCAGATTTACAATGACTGGGAATGGGGGATGGGTCAAGTGGCAGCTCTTCCAACATTGCGGCTGAATATCTTCAGCTCATTGCAGATCAATGGTCAGGGGGGTGACTACCAGGAACTTGGAAGAATATCTCCTGGCAAGCAGAACTCTAATGAAACCCTGCCCATTCCGAAGGGCTGTTTCAACTTTGGATATGTTTGAATAAACATTTAGAATGCCCAAAAATTCCCACTAACCATCCTTCATACAGGCAAAACGCAAACCCTTTCCAAAGGAATTTCAACATATGGAGGTCATAGTTGCTGCAATCAAATTTCAGGCAATCCTTTGCTGAATATGAATTAGATTTCTGAAGGAAACACGGAAAAACGTAATAGTTTATTATGATTGATCTGGAGAACCGCTTTAGGCACCCAAATCAGTCTGATCCCAAGTCCATGGATGCGGTGTTCGTGAGAATGATCGGTGTTCATAAGAAAGCACAGTCAGTGCTGCTGAGCACGATGCGTGCACGTTGCACACCAAAGTACACACTCCTGTCCCCTGCCCCAACTCAGCTGAAAAAACCTGGTGGAAACTGTTCATTTTCTTTCCTTGAGAACGATGCTGATCACTGAGAGCGATTGCCGGCTGAGAATGGAGAATTTGTTTTTTCCCGCTCTGAAACGCAACCACACCCATTCCCACCGGGATCCTTCTGAGCCTTTTTTTTTTGATCAAAAACGTCCGGGAAAAAATTAGGCTATCGTCCACCAGAAACGATTCCTCTCATTAAAACAATTGGCCTACTGAGAACACAAACACTTCGTGAAAACGATGGGCCGATTGGAATACCCATTGATGATGACCTCAGACAAGAAACCCTGCTGGTAGAACTTTTTTTTTTGGAAGACACCCTTTTTGCAATGCAAAGTAACTCAAAGATTGATCAGTGTGTTGAAACAACACCCCGATGAAATTGGCCTAAGCAAGTGCGTGCTAGAAGCAACTACTATTGCATTGCGGGCGCCCACGAGGAACACTAATTGAAATCCGCCACTCGCCCCACTCGCCCCACTCGCCCTACTTGCCCTGGGCTAGCAAAGTAATTGAAATCCGCCACTCGCCCCACTCGCCCCACTTGCCTTGGTAGGAAAATTAATTGACTTTCACTCGCCCCACTCGCCCTACTCGACCCCACTCGCCCTACTCGCCCCACTCGCCCTACTCGCCCGACTCGCCCCACTCGCCCGACTCGCCCCACGGGGCAAGCGGGGCAAGCGGGGCAAGCGGGGCAAGCGGGGCAAGCGGGGCAAGGAGGAAGATTCACTTATTTTCCCTAGAAGCGGAGCAAGCGGAGCAAGCGGGGCAAGCGGGGCAAGCGGCAGAAATCACTTAGCGGCCCCGCGGGGCACCCACACTGTACTATTGACAAACAACTCTATGCTGCAGTTTCCCTACTCCCCCATGATGCGGCAGCTTCTCCATCTTGTGCCAAAAAAATATGGGTGGATTCATTCAAACATGACCCCTCAGAACGATCGCCGTTCTGACATGCGTTTTTCCCGTAAGAATGCGTTACCTAAGATTAGAAGAACATATATAACTCCACCGTTGGAGGCCTGTATCCAAAATCTACGCCTCAATGACTTAAGGGCTTCCTGAAAGGACCGGCTCAGGATAGAGTCGCAGAAATGACGCAACTGGTGGATCTTGGGGATGACGATTAGTGTTGAACCAGTTGGAATTATCCATGTCCATTCATGGATGTGACGAATGGCATCTACTCGTAATTATCTATGCGTTTCTTAAGTCTGCATTTTTCTAGAGTCTATGTAGAGGGGATAGTGAAGTCATGCAGGACGGGGTCCCGAAGTCGTAATTTGGTTTTGGAAACCCATCCATAAATCCATGCAGATATGTATTATAGATTCATAGATTATGTATATTATAAATTATATAATACATTACATTACTTACGCATACTTACGCTATATAAAAATCTATTGAAATGTATCATTACAACCCCGTGTTATAAACCGACCTATCGTTTTGGTGCCTCTCCGTTTATTCGGGATCCGACCTCTCCGCAGCTTCTTCGCGCGGGTCCTTCGTGCGTGATCCGAGCGATCCGGCGATCCGCCATGGATTTCTCATTTAGTGAGCAGGTGGACCGGCTCTTGGCCCAGCTGAAGGTGGGGAAGAGGACCGGCGTTCGTTCCGTCCAACGGGTTTTTGGATCATGAAATCCATTCCATTCCCATTCCATTTTTAGTGATCTATTAAGATTTATATATGTGATATATTTGATATGTATGATATGTATATTTGTGAGAGAGAGATATATATATATATATATATACACCAGTACATACATATTGTTGACATCCATCAGTCATGGAGCCAAGTTGACAACAGTGTGATGGTGAATGTGATCACTGATACCATCCAATGAACAATAGACATGTCAATAAATTTGCGCCAACAACACTACTAAGGTCAAGAACGTTGCGCTACATATAATATAGTCTCATATCCTTACTTCATGCTAGTTTGGCTCATCATTCTGTTTGTTCAATGATTTTCTTCATGAATGCGTAGAATTTCCAGCCCATTTTCGTGTAAATCCCATACATCATAGATCTCCATGCACATCAATAAATCCACCAGAAATCTACCAGAAATCTGGTTAAAATCTGGTGAACTCACCGACACCAGCGCCCGCGTAGGTGGACTTGTTGAGACACCACGAGCAGCACCGCCCAGCGCCTCCGGGCCCTGTGGGCCCTGCGAGCCCTGCGAGCCCAGCGCCACCGGCGCCTGTGGTCACGGCACGACAACTGCAGGAGCTGAGCGATGGGCCTGGGCTCATGGGACAGGCACGGTACACAGGGGGGTGAACAGGATCTGAGCCAAGGAAAAATGGGGGAACTTCGCAAAGATGTGGATCCTGATTATTGATAACATGTTATCAATGTGGATCCTGTTGTCGCATACATCGCAAAAACGGGGATAACTTAAGTGATAACAACTGGTATGTGGTGAAAAGGCCACTTGTGATGGGAATATGGGGATACTGAATGGGAGTGATTCGGATGTTTATACAGCATAACTCGGGACTTCACCAGCAAACATGATGATGTATAAACAGTTGATGTTAGGAAAGTTGGCTTATAACTTGAAAAAAACTAGGATTGAATCAAGTCAAAACCAAATTATATCCAATGATAGCAAAAAGCAGGGTAGTTGGTAGTTCACCCCACTTACTTCTGGTGGGAACATGGGGGTCGTATGGGATTTATTGGGGTTTTTAAATATACCAAGTGGGTTTGAATCTAGGTATAAGTATGGCAAGGGGGAACCCCCATGACGAAATGGGACGGGTTTGGGATCTGTGAAACGGAGCGGGGTCATTGGAGATCCGCTACAAGATGATGCCCAGCGTTTGCTGTCTTTCTCTAGGTCGCCCTTGGGGTTTATGGTGGATATATCATATATCCAACTCAGTTAACTCCGCAAATGGGATTTATAAACCAAACATAGCTTGGTGGCACCACGTTGTACTGGGGTATACTGGAGTCACTGGCGATGGGAAGGTCTCATTGTCTATTAGAAAAATACGATGTGGGTTTGGTATCTGAAATTGTCTGATTCCATCGAAATGGTCGTTGAAATGTGCCCACATTGTCCCCTATGAGTCGATATTTTCCTGATTGTATCACAGACATAAAAGTCGTATACGTGGAGGATCATCCCACAGATCTTTTTTTGAGGTTATTAATAAACCTGGTGATCGTAAGTCCCGAATGACTTATTCCGATATAACAGTGGTTGAACTAACTATATGGTTACAAACCCTAACACTTGTATCAATTATATATATATATATCATTTATAAGTGGCTTGAGTTACAACTTTGTTCTCTACCTATGGTTGCTATCACCACCGTTTTCCAGGTGCTCACAGACTCTGAGTCGGATGACGAGCTGCAATCGCCCACGCAGGCGACCGAGCCATCCACAGTCTGGAAAATCAACGGTTTGAAGAGGTAAATCATCTTAAATCATCTCAAATCATCTAAAAACTGTTTTTTTGTTTATTTGTTTTTCCCCATAACCCATAGCTATGTGAAATGACTGGAGGCTATGGTGTCTATTGACTTACATTTGGGCCATATTTTTGGGCTAAATGATGGGTCAAGTGGCTGCCAGAAGTGAGCCTCGACTTCACAAACTGTGGCAGCTGTTGAGGATTGAGGATCAATACTTATCAGTGTTTCATAGTTTATCATCGTTTGTCGCTCTTCTTTAGACATGTTAGTTACTGTTTGTGTATAGGTTATTTACATATATATATATATATGTATATATATATACACATACATATTAGACATGTTCATTGGTTGATCATATATAGATTATTTTAGCTTTTTTTCTTGCTGCGTGACCCCTCTGTGCCTCGAACAAAACACAACATATATCAGTATCAACAGATATCCGCTCTGATTCGTGAACATTCTAAATTGGCACCTGTTTGAGGGGTACACTATGCAAAAATCAAGACATTTCTCACCATTTCTTTCACTGTGAAAATCACCATGTCTGTTGCGAAAGTATACGAACGTACCATTTTTTGATGGGTTACGCAGCAAAATCTGCATGTTTACGGGTTTTGACATTTGAAATCCTTCTTTGGGACCTCCCCCACTTTTGGTTGGTTGACGCCCTTGTTTTCGATGGTCAAATAAATAGCCGTCAAAAAAAATAAATTTAGTGGTTGGCTAAATCCCCAGCTCTAACGGCTGAAATAATCATGAACTAGCCTTTTTTGATCTGTGGTTGAAACACCGCAAAACATGTTGATTTCTCCTTTTTTTTTCTTACCTAAAGCATCCTAAAGCCACTGCAAAGATCCCTAATCTTTGTTTGCTTCAAAATCCCTGCTAGATTCACAGGTGAAATCTTCATGCCTTGGCTCTTGGAATCCCCACGTTGAATCGATTAAGCAGAGAACCAACCATAAAGTCACATCATGAATCCCCATGTTTGCAGAACCCAAACCACCATCCAAATCCACCCATATTACATTATAGTATTATCTGTAATGTATATCATCATCATCATCATCATCAACATCATCATCATCATCATCACCATCATCAACATCATCAACATCATCAACATCATCATCATCATCATCATCACCATCACCATCACCATCATTATCATCATCATCATCAACATCATCATCACCACCATCACCATCATCATCATCATCACCATCATCATCATCATTCACATATATATATATATACACATGTATATACACATGTATATATATATATATGTATCAATATATATATATCAATATATATATATATATATCAATATATATATATCCATACGTATAAATATATATATATATACATATATATATATATATGTATGTATAACCATCCCCTGAATGTGCCTGGTTCCTTTTTGTTCAAGATATCCTTTTTCTGGTTTAACACGCCAGGTGAAGGATCTAGCCGTGAAACCCAAGTCGGAGCCAAAGATCTTCGCGGCGCCGTCCTCCGTGCCACCACCTCTGGTGACCGCGGAGGGGCTGCAGCGGAGTGGGAGCTCCGCCATCCTCGCCGCTTCCGGAAACGCTGGGAGCGCTGAGAGTGAAAGTCCCCAGAGGAGGAGGAGTCTTGGGAGCAAAGTCTTTGGTAACTTGGCGTTCTGACGGTGGAAGTCTTCGAAGTGAGTTTTTAAGGTGAAATCTAAAGTCTTGTCTTGAGCAAGTTGGACTTCAAAATAAATGGACGTGAGTTGGGTTGAGAACAGAATATGGAAATGATTGAGTAAAATCTGTGGTGAGCAGAAGATTAACCAATCTACCCTAGTTTGGTTTATTAAAATTGATGTTCACTCTCACAAAACTGGGCGTTGGCTGATTAGTTCAGGGGATCCATCCTCATGAGCCAGGTTTTTGCCACACACGGATGTGGTTCGGTCGGTGAGACTGAAAATTCATATTTGTGGGGAGAGATGTGGAGATGTACAGCAATTTATGCCAGTTTGCTGAATGTGATTTTGGTATATTTTGGTAGCTTTGGTGATTGGATTTGTTGATTTGTTTATTGCATTGGGCAGGAGAGATAATTTGGTCAAACAGTTGGGGTGGAATGGAAGTTGTTAGGATTTTTGATGTGGACAATGGAAGGTTGAATCAGCATCGAATTGAATCGTGAAATTTGGAGATATCTAAGAGGGTTGCTCCAACCTATTGTAGGTAAAACATAGCCACAACGGGGAAAATAGGCGATTTTACCTCAAATATTTAGTTAATTTCCCCTTTGTATCTGGGGTGTAGGGAGTTGGGAGCAACCATGTTTAAAGTGGTTTGTGGTTTCAGCATCATATGAAGACAGCAATGGCATCAGAGGCCAGATACAACAATGAGAACGTTGATATAAAACATCATGTGCCTGAGTGGAATTGTCTGGGGACAAACGTACAAGAAAGCCCGATTTCCCACAGCCAAATCGACAAGAAAAACAGGCATCTACAGTAGCCTTTTAGGGTGCGAAACCAGATGATCTTGGATGTCCAAATCTCAACCTCTATGATTCTGCCCTGTTTTTGGTGGGGCTGTGGTGGGCAATAGCGTTCTTGGCACTTGCCTGACGCAATGATGGATGGGGTGGGCTGAGGTGGGGTGGGGTGGGTAATAACGTTCCTTGGCACTTGCGCATTGATGTGATGCTATGTCAAGGATGGGGTGGGTTGGGGTGGGTAACTTCCAAGACGCTCTTTGCTACGTTGTATCGTTTTTCTCATGTAACTTCCAAGACACTCTTGATGCTACGTTGCAACATCTTCCTCAAGACGCTCTTGATGCTACGATGTTTTTTTGCAAAAGCAAGTGAAGCTGTGAGGGTAAAACATCAAGTTTGACCGACGAAGGGATCCAAAACTGTATTAATCGTATACATACATAGTCATAAATATATAAATCATACATATATCATATAAATGTATACCTGGAAAACCATAAAGACACAATTGTCTGTCCGTATACGGGTTTGGACATGTTTTTGTCCGTTATTTTTTTCCCAAACACGGCCATGTCCGGCCCACCAGGTGGCCACTAAGTAGCTACCTAATGGCTGGCTGCAATCCCTCTACTTAAAGGTCAATAGTTTTTCTGAAATCTTGGATTTGTCGAACTGGTTCCGACAGTATGAGTGTCTCGTCTAGAGGCAGTATTTGGAACAGTATGTTGAAATATGTTTTTTTTACAACATTATGTTGAAAAAATACTGGTACTTATGGGTACAGCGGATCAGTTAGATAAGAACCGATTCAGAATTTTCCAGCCTACCCTGGGGTTCTTAAGTGCTAAAGGTGGAACATATTTTTTCAATTATGAACATTATGAACGAGGGTACCCTCAAGTTCTTAATGGGTTAGTTCTTAAGGGGCTCATATGGTGAGGGTTTTGCCAATTCATTTTGGCGTGGAATAGCTTGCAAAGGAGGCGGGGGGAAGAAGAAAACTTTTTAGGTCCCGAAAAGTATTTTCAGGCGCAGGCATTCCAAACACAGATACAGGCCAGATATTCCACCATGCCAGGGCTTGAAAGTTTATTTTGGCGTGGTATGAGGTTGCAAAGGAGGCGGGAGGAGAAAATAACTTTTTAGGTCCTGAAAAGTCTTTTCAGGTGCAGGCATTCCAAACAGAGCTATAGGCCAGATATTTCACCCTGCTAGGGCTTGAAAGTTTACTTTGGCGTGGTATTAGGTTGCAAAGGAGGCGGGGGGAAGAAAAAAACTTTTTAGGCGCCGAACAGTTTTTTTGATTTAGGGGCCCGAAGCAAGGCAGCACAGGCAAGACAAGCCAAGACAAGCCAAAACAAGCCAAGGGCAGCATCTGGAGCCAGATGGTCTCTAGTGAGTCTGGCTGGCGTCGGGCTCAGGCTGTTCAGCCTACCTAGCCGTATTGGGAGTTGAATCCCTATTGCGCTGGCGATTTGCTTGTTTCTTGCGTGCATGCTTCTTGCTTTCAAATACCAATAAACAATTAAACAGTGGTTTCGCTGTACATCCAAGGTTGGTGGCCAATATGGCAGCATTTGTGGCCAGATTTGGGTACCCTATCATGACTCCCAATCTGGTCGAAGGATTTGAACAACCCCTCACATTCAAAAACAAAAATAACGGGAGTAATAAAACCCAAAATGGACCAGAAAATTGTCGTACGGTTCCCAAGGCATATAATATAATTATATATGTTTATGGATATATAATATATATGTAAGATTGTATATACACGTGGGAAATACAACCATGGTTAGACATACCACATGACCACATATAACAGTTTTTCTCGAGAACATGGACAATCGGTACTATTATAGTATCTACGAATGACAACGCACATTATAAATACTTAAACCGTCATAAAGCAATATTTGGAGGATCATCCCACTTGGTAACTGGCTGGTAACCGCAGGTACAGCATGGTTGAAAAAAAAATACTTTACTTCGTGTGATCCCCACCATGACATTTATACATTTTCTTACTGGCAAATCTTCTGGCATTCTATCTGACATATCTTCTGACATTCTATTTGGCATTCTATCTGGCATTTCTTCTGGCATATGATCTCTGGCATATCTTCTGGCATTCTATCTGGCAAATCTTCTGGCATTCTATCTGGCATATCTTCTGGCACTCTATCTGACATATCTTCTGGCATTCTATCTGGCATTCTATCTGGCATTCTATCTGGCATATCTTCTGGCATATATTCTGACATATCTTCTGGCATTCTATCTGACATATCTTCATATATTCTGACATATCTTCTGGCATATCTTCTGGCATATCTTCTGGCATATCTTCTGACATATCTATCTGGCATATCTTCTGGCATATTTTCTGGCATTCTATCTGGCAAATCTTCTGGGCATTCTATCTGGCATATCTTCTGGCATCTATCTATCTGGCATTCTATCTGGCATATCTTCTGGCATATCTTCTGGCATATCTTCTGACATTCTTTCTGACATTCTTTCTAACTTTCTTCTGCACATTCTTTGTCCCATATCTTCCTACATGAGGTCCGGCAGGGAACACTTGGCGTGGATACTCGCGGTTGAGGTCCGGCAGGGAACACTGGGCGTGGATGGTCGTGGTTGAGGTCCGGCAGGGAACACTGGGCGAGGATGGTCGTGGTTGAGGTCCGGCAGGGAACATTGGGCGTGGATGGTCGTGGTTGAGGTCCGGCAGGGAACACTGGGCGTGGATGGTCGTGGTTGAGGTCCGGCAGAGAACACTGTGGATCGCGGGTCGCAGTTGAGCAAGGACGACGAGGACGACGAGGACGACGAGGACGACGAGGAGGACGAGGAGGAGGAGGAGAGGAGGAGGAGGAGGAGAAGGAGGAGGAGGCAACTGACATAAAATCTAACAACCCTCACCTGGCAGGTGGGGAAAAACGTGTGAAGCATGTATAATTATATAATACATAGATACATATACATGGGACAGCCGCTTAGCGTATAGGTATAGTTCAAACCACCCATTTTAACGCAATGATTGTCACATTTGTTTTTGTTTTCCTGCTCTTGTGGCCCAGGTAAACCGAGCTCGCAAACCAACCTTCCCTCGAAGTCCGACACCTCCTCGGAAGGCTTTGGGTCTTCGGATGACGAGGAGGTCGCCCCCCAAAAAGCCCCACGGAGAACTGGGAGCCTTGGCAAAACGCTGGGAAATCACCACGAAAAATAGGCATCGATGGGAGAATCACCAAACTATATTGTGGATTTTCCAGCCATGTTTCATGACACTGGAAAGGTGTGATTTATTGTTTTCTCTGGAAATACCACATTTTTATGTAATTGGTTGGCAAATAGAATGACAACACAAGCTTAGAATAAATTGAGTTCCGTCAAAAACCCGGATTTGCGTTTTTGCAGGGTTTTGAGACATCGCTGTCCCCACCATATTTTTTTTTGGGTATTTGTCTCAAGAAGCCATCCTGCACCTAACTGCGGCTGTTGAAGCGTTTTTTTTAAATTTGATTGGC